TTGCAATAAAATTTAGTTGAAGTAATATTGAGAATGAGCACATAATTGCTTTTCATAAAAATAATTTTTAATTTAAAATAATTTTTAGTAGAATTTAGTTTTTATTATATTATTAGTTAAAATATTATTATTAGTTCTTATAAGCAGATATAAGTGCGTATCACATTTTTATTTATTAATTAATAAATATTATGTATAAAATATTCACTTCAATGGAATTTGTGATTAAATGACAACAATAATTGCAGCTTTTGTGGAAGTAAACATACAACCAAACTACAAAAAACCTTTTTAACACTATATAAAAAATATTTGATTGAAAATACGGTTTTTAATTGATGGTATTTAAAAAATTAATTGTTGTTTAAAAAAGTGAATTTTACTAACAAATCCTGCGCCAAAAGAGACAAAACTTTGTTTAGGACTGAAAAATATTACAAAAATATTAATTCGTTAGAAAAATATACCATAGAACGATATAATCGTATAGAGATCATGCGATACCAACAGTTTTGCTTTAAATCTACTATAAAAAAGATTGAAGGTAGATTATATCGTTATTTATAGTTAAAGTTCCTAATTTTTTGTATGGAATATTAATTGTAGAAGATAACTTGATATCTACAAGTTGTATATATGTTGATAATGTACTATATCGTTTCTTGTTTAGTTAATAAGTGTCTAAATGCTGGTATATCTCCCTTTATTGATTTCTCAGATTTTGTTATACTCCGAGCTTGAAGTTTTCATATTAATATTTCTTCTAAATATTGTTATTATTATCTACTAGGTATTATAGTATTATTTTGCTTTTGTTGTGTACTATTATCCTTAACACTTTATTTAAGAATATTCAAATTTCATATCAGATTTGGAAGCCTAATCACACGCAACATTTCCAAACAAAAGAGATGGATGATGATTTCTTTATAAATGTTTTATTTGTATTAATTAGTTGCTTTAATAGAAAAGAGATTAAAGAGCGCTAAGCGTATTTTGGCTGGTAACTCTTTTGTTTTAAATATTTATCTTCAAAGTAAAAAGTTCAATTTAAGTTAAGCTCAGATATGCTTGATGGTGTTGTTATCAGCTTTTATATTGTATACCATTTTTAGCTTGAATTTTATTTTTACAGGATCTTTGATTAAGATCCTAGAATTTTGGAGGATCTTAAACATATTGTCGCTTAGGAAAAGTTTATTTCTTACTAAAGCTTTGCTCGGATTATCAATCAGAACCATCTCAATAAGAATTACTCATAGAGACTTTCGATCTAAAACAATTTAAATATTGTTTACAATTAAGTAAAAATATATTAGGAAACTTTACAGGATCTCTAACATTACACCATAAATAAAAATCTTAGCTTACACAACTGGGAGCTTACTCTAATGGAACGTATAGGTTTTGTGGCAAATAGAACATGATCTCAAAACACGTGCAAAAAAGTGTCTGGATGGGCATCTCATGTTGGATAAAAAGAATAAAGAATAGTATTGAAATTTAACAATTAAGAATATTTTTAAATAATTTAATCATGTTACAGTTGGTTTATTATTTCGTTCTAATATAACACAGCAAGTGAACTTGCTTAAAAATACTCAAAGCATTTTTATAAAACTCCGGGTACGAGTTCAACATTAGATGTTTTCAGTCTCAAAATACTATTTACGAATAAATAAATATAAGAAATAATCCCAAGACCATTGATCGTGGATATTTGGAAATGCTCGAAACAGCTGTGTAATCAGTCAAAAATTCAATAATTTAAAGAAATAAAAATATTTGTTGTTGCAATTCACTTCTTTTTGAAAAATCGTTCTATTAAATACAATAGCTTCTATTAAGTTAATAATTACTTTCGTCGAAACTGTCTTCAAAATATAAAAAAGAAGATAAACTCTGTAATGTGGATGCTACATTATAGAAATAAGTCCCCCCATAAAGGAGGACAATAGATCTCTAGGTTCTCTAGGTGAAAACAATAGAGAACCCAGAGTCGCAATATCAAATAATGTCAAAAGTGAGGTCTATAAAAAGAACATATATATTTCAAAAGCTCTTAGTTATGTAAATATAAAAATAACCATAGATAAAATTTTATATTTTCGATGAAATGAAGTGAAGGAAAATACAAAACCGAACTTGTTCAAGTTTTTCTTTGTAACTATAAAATATGGGAGAAAAACGTATTTCTTACACATATTTTCATGCATGTACTGAGGCGTATCACCGCACTAGACAAATTCAATTAAAAAAAAATAAAAATAAATGCATACTACCTTCCTACACAAAGGATATGTATTGTAACTGAAAAACTAAAAGCAAAAGTCGAAATAATGAGAGATATTCCTTGCTCGGCATTTTATATATTTTTATTACTGTTGTGCTCGTCCCAAGTATGCCTAAAGGCTTTAACGAGACACAGTTTCCTCATTTCTCTATGAGTTTCTTGTAAAAAAATACTATGACAAAAAAAAAAAAGAAAATGAAAATGTCCTAAAAATAAAAATGGAATCACAAAACTCTTTGCTATTCTCATCTTTGGAAGAAGTGTTGGCGCCAACAGTGGTGCCTGCCGCTCGAAGGTGGAATTGCAAATATGTAGATTCATTTCAAACTCATTTAAATATGACAATGTTTGTGCATTTGCTTGTTTGTGCAAGTGTTTGTACATAATTATACGAAAACAAATGCATGAGGAAAGTATCTTGATGATTTCAAGCAGTAACAGCTGCCAAATGCACTTTGCGCCGAACGTTTCAACAAATAAAGCTCATTACGTACTTTAAGCATTTTTTTGCATTACAATTTTATTTAATTTTTTTTATAATTTTTTAATTTTTTATATATATTCTTATTTATTTCATTTTATATAAATAATCTAAAAATAAAGTGAACGAATGGCTCAACAATTTGGCTCATAAAACTTGTCATAACTCAAATTCATTAGTTGATTTCTAATTAGTTACAAAACCATTTAAGAAGCATATTTTTCGGCGCTATAAATTTTCATGACTGAGATTTGAGCATTTGTTTATTTGTTTATTTGTCACAATATTTTTGTTGTTTGTTTGAACAACTGTTAAAACAACAAAATAAAATGAAATTCCAAAATGTCCTTTGCGTACATTTCGAAGGCATTTTGCCAAGTAGTTCAATGCGTACATGAGAAAATGTTGCTCTTGAAGCTCTGAAGTCCTGCCTTGCAACAGTAGCCATTTTTTTATTAGTTTTTCATTTTATTTTTTTGTGTGTTTTTTTTTTCTCCTATTTTGTTTGCTTATGTTTGTATAAATATTCTTATGTTTGTTTATTTCCACATACGATTGTTATTGTTTTCCTTAGAGCAAAATTGATTCGAAAATTTTTGGCAAATTAAAAATTTCATACATGAGAACACATATTGTGTCCTTATGTGCCAAAATTGTTTTTTCTTTCCTCACTGAGTCTTGCTTAAAGCGCAAGTAAAATAATAAAAACATTTAATTTGACTTAAAAAATTGTTTATGCCGACTCATGCCTTGAAAACAATTACAGAGATATATTCGCTATGCATTTATTTATCTTTTTGTGAGCATCACTTAATCTGGCAGATCTTGCAGTGCATAAATTCTACAATAAATTACCGAAAAAATCGCTATCGTCTCACTACATTAGTTATTTATTTCGGTTTGCTATGTGATTGTGGGTGTTGGCGCAGATTTCTGTACTCTTTGACAAATTTATGTATTTACACATAATATATAGTAGATATAAATTCATTTAAATTTGTTTATAAATAAATGCATGGCATTTTTTGATATTATTTGTTTTCAAATGAAAACATGCAAATATTTGAAACTAAATATTTATTTTAATTTATTTATTTTTTTTTGAAAATAAATTGTGAATTTATTCATATAATAAATATTAATAGAATGGAAAAAGAAAAATTGATTAAATTAATTAAATTATTTGTTTTAATCGACTTGAATTGTGTTGCTTATTTTTCTAATTATGCAATAAAATTAATTATAATAAAAAAAAAGTTAATAAATTATTTTAATTATATATTTTTAAGATGTGCTGGCTCTGAGCTTCAAATTTGGCAGGACACGAGTTCGATTCCTGGTACTTACTTGTAGAATCAGACTAACAAACCGCAATCAATATATATGAGCAGTAAGCAAAAGTACTTGTGGATTGGTCATATTCTAAGAAGACTTGTGAGAGTCTGCAGAATAACCAGAATAACAAAATAAGCCGAATAACAAAATAATGATACCGGTTTTTTATGAAATGGTATTATGAAAAA